CTTATTTTGAAAGGAGGGGTATTAAATCCTGAATCAAAACCACCTTTTCTCCCTTCCGCCCCTTTCCTCCCCAAAGACTCTCTCTGCTCTGGAGCAGGCGTCACGAGCCAATTCCCTTTGCAAATATTTGCATGCAAAGCGTGCCATTCAACGCCAGAGCACTTCTTCTCTTCCTGGCACCAGGATTTATGTCTCCCGGTTCTGGTACATGATGTGTGTGCATGTATATATATAGGCGCAATGATAGATCATATAAATATGCCTCAAGCAAACAGATTCCAGATGATCTCCATTAGGAGCCCTATCTGGAAGCAGAAAGCAAGCTGGCTCTCATTAATTCATGGCTAAGTAGCCCAAGGACAAGCCATCGCAGGAGAGAAATCTCCCCATCCAGCCAAGCCTGGCCTTGGCAAGGTGCAGGGAATTATCCCGATCGGGTCACGGGTTCAAATCCAACTTCCTGAAGAGCAGCTGTCCCCAACTAATCACTTAGGCAAAGGACCAGCTAAGGAACCTCGGGGCAATCTCAAACCTTGCAAAAGCAGATACCTTAATCTCCGGCATTCCTGATAAGATACCGGTAACTCTGCTCCTCCCTTTCTTCTGCCCAGGGCAATTGAAGGAGGGATTCAAGATACGACTTTTGGATGGCAACACCCAGAATCCCCCAAACTACATTGTGTGCATTGATAGGCTTGGAGTAAAAGATGCAATTCTATGCCCAGAGATGTGATTTCTAAATAGGAACTTAGAATTACTATTTTTAGCCATGCATCAAAGCCACAGAGTTGGAAGAGACCACAAGGGGCCATCCCATTTCTGCCACAATCGGATCACTCCCAATAGATGACCATCCATCCTCTACACAAAAACTTCCAGAGAAGGAAACGCTAGTACACTCCAAGGCAGAGAACACCACCTCTGCCAAACACCTCTTCCTAATGATAGCCATGTATAAATATGTGAGAGGAAGCCACAGGGAGGAGGGAGCAAGCTTGTTTTCTGCTTCCCTGGAGACTAGGATGCAATGGAACAATGGCTTCAAACTACAAGAGAGGAGATTCCATCTGAACATGAGGAAGAACTTCCTGACTGTGAGAGCCGTTCAGCAGTGGAACTCTCTGCCCCGGAGTGTGGTGGAGGCTCCTTCTTTGGAAGCTTTTAAACAGAGGCTGGATGGCCATCTGTCAGGCCATCTGTCAGGGGTGATTTTAATGCAACATTCCTGCTTCTTGGCAAGGGGTTGGATGGCCCATGAGGTCTCTTCCAACTCTTTGATTCTATGATTCTATGATTCAGTTGGAATCTCCTTTCCTGCCATTTGAAGCAATTCTGGGTATTTGAGGTCCTTCCCTGCAAAGCATAGTTATACCAGTAGAGCAGAATTCTTCACTGGAACAGATCCCTCAAATTCTCCACTGCAGAGCCACACTCCACTTCTCTAAACTTCTAGCACTATCTAGTAATGAATCATATAAAGTTCCAAGGGGCCATAAAGGCCTTCCAATCCAACTGTATCCTGCCATGTAGAAAGACACAATCAAAGCCCTCCTGGCAGATGGCCATCCAGCCTCTGCTTCAAAACCTTCAGAGAAGGAAACTCCATCATGCTCTGAGGCAGTATCTCCCACTGTGAATCATAGAATCCTAGAGTTGGAAGAGACCTCATCGGCCATCCAGTCCAACCCCATTCTACCAAGAAGCAGGAAAATCACATTCAAAGCACTCCTGACAGATGGCCATCCAGACTCTGTTTAGAAGCCCCCTGAGTCCCCCCTCGGGGGTTGAGAAGGGCGGGGTAAAAGTACCCGAAATAAATAAATAAATAAATAAATTAAAGGGATAACTCTTTGTGAACAATAAAACCTATTTTGATTTATAGTTCTCCTACAACCATTCTGAACCCTACCAACGATGGAATTGAATCAAACTTAGCACACAGGTCTCCCATGACCAACAGAAAATACTGGAAGGGTTTGGTGGACAGTGTCCTTTGGTTTTGGAGTTGTAGTTCACCTACATCCAAAGATGACTGTGGACTGTGGATCTGGACCAAACTCTACACGAATACTCAAGATGCCCAAATGTGAACACTGGTGGAGTTTGGGGGGAATAGAATCTTGACATTTGGGAGTTGTAGTTGCTGGGATTTATAGTTCACCTACAGTCAAAAAGCATTCTGAACCCCACCAACGATAGAATTGGACCAAACCTCCCACACAGAACCCCCATGTGGGCCACAGCAACATGTTGCAGGGAACGGCTAGTCTATATTAAAAAAAAATGTAATGTTCGTTTGTGGGATTAACATAACTCAACAACCACTGGATGAATTGCCACCAAATTTGAACACAATACACCTACTACCCCAAGGAGTGACCATCACTAAAAATTGGATTTTGTCATTTGGGATTTGTAGTTACTCGGGTTTACAGTTCACATACAATCAAAGAGCATTCTGAACTCCATCAATGATGGAACTGAACCAAACTTGGCACATAGGACTCCCACAACCAACAGAAAATTTTGGAAGGGTTTGGTGGGCATAGACCTTGAGTTAGGGAGTTGTAGTTCACCTACATCGAGAGATCACTGTGGACTCAAACAATGAAGGATCTACACCAAACTTGGCACAAATACTCCATATGCCCAAATGTGGAGTTAGGGGAAAATAGACCTTGACATTTGGGAGTTGTAGTTGCTGGGATTTATCAAAGAGCATTCTGAACCCTACCAACAATAGAATTGGGCCAAATCTCCCACACAGAACACCCACAACCAACAGAAAATACTGTATTTTCTGGTGGTCTTTGGCAACCTTTCTGATACCCCCTCGTGACCTCCCTCCAGGGGTCCTGACCCCCAGGTTGAGAAATGTTGCCTAAAGGCCATTCAGTCCACCTCCCTTCACCAGGGCAAGAAAACATAATCAAAGCCCTCCTGAAAAAGAGCCATCCAGGTCTGTAGCCGGGGGGGGGGTGGGGGCTTCAGCCCCCCGAAATTCTCAGGGTGGTCCGCAAGAAGGCCTTACTGGTACATTATTTAAACTGTTATTTTTATTCATATCATGATCTGATCACCATGCTCAATATATCCCATATGCATGGGGGTATTGGGGTAACGATACAAAAGGTTTGCTAAGGTAGACCCTCTTTCACTCAGACTCAGCCCCCCCCCCCCAAAACCTCACCCCCCCCCCCCCCCCCCGAATCGAAATCCTGGCTATAGGTCTGCATCCAGCCATAGATATATATGATTCACACACACACACACGTATATGACAGATATATTGTCATAGATTTGAAAGGGACCCCTAAAGAAGGACAATAATATGTTCCACGTTTCAGAGTAGGCAAACCAGACAAACTCTACATCAACACTAACAAAGAAACAACAAGAAGTACTGTTTACCCACAAGCATTAAAATATTACATATATTAGAAACCAGCACTTTCTCATTACATTATTTTCCACCTCACCAGACAAGGACACAGCAACGCGTGGCAGGGGACAGCTAGTGTGCCAATAAGAAATTAAGCAACATCTCAAAACCCCATTCTACTATTCAGGCAGCAATGAAAATTGAACCGAAGAGCCAAATTCAACCAAAGATCCAGGGTTAAGTAATATGAGATTCTTGGGTTTAGATCGAACAAATTCAAGTTCATGCCTCTGCGTCACTCAGGCCTGAAATGCACTTGGTAACAATGGGCCAGTCACTCTCGTCTACCTCACTAAATTGCTCTAATAAAATGGAGAAGAGTCTGCTACCTTGAGCTCACAGGAAGAATGGCAGGATATAAACATGACTCATCGAGAGAACAAATGGGGTCACGTCCCTCGGAAAGAGGCACTTTGTCAGAGAACAAGTGACACCTTTCACAATGGTGCAACTGCTACCACTTCCTGAGCTTGATTTGTGAAAAAACATTAATCATCCTCATAAAATGTTTTACAAGTATATATACTAGCTGTCCCCTGCCACGCATTGCTGTGGCCCAGTCTGTTGATCTGTAAAATAAAGTAATGAGAAAGTGTTAGTTTCTAATATATGTAATATCTTTATGCTTGTGGGTAAACAGTATTTCTTGTTGTTTCTTTGTCAGTGTTGATGTGGAGATGGTCTGGTTTGCCCACCCTGGAACATGCAACATATCATTGTCCTTCTTTAAGGGTCCCTTTCAAATCTATGATACTATATCTGTGTGTGTGTGAATCATATCTATCATCTTCATCTATCTATCTATATCTATGGCTGGATGGCTGTTTGTCAGGAGGACTTTGATTACGGTTTCTTGCCCTGGTGAAGGGAGTTGGATTGGATGGCCTTAAGTGTTTTCTGTTGGTCATGGGGGTTCTGTGTGGGAAGTTTGCCCCGATTCTGTCATTCGTGGGGTTCAGAATGCTCTTTGATTGTAGGTGAACTGTTAATCCCAGTGACTACAACTCCCAAATGTAAAGTTCCGTTTTCCCCAAACTCCATCTGTGTTCATATTTGGGTGTATTGAGTGCTTGTGCCAAGTTTGGTCCAGATCCATCATTGTTTGAGTCCACAATGCTCTCTGGATGTAGGTGAACTACAACTCCCAAACTCAAGGTCAATGCCCACCAAACCCATCCAGTATTTTCTGTTGGTCATGGGAGTTCTGTGTGCCAGGTTTGGTTCAATTCCATCGTTGATAGAGTTCAGAATGCTCTGATTGTAGATGAACTATAAATCCCAGCAACTACAATTCCCAAATGGCAAAATCATAATTTTTGAGGGATGGTTATTCCTTGTGTTGTGAGACGTTTTGTTGCCATATTTGGTGTGATTTCGTTCATTGGTTCTTTTGTTTTTAAGGTACTCATTATGCACAGAGCATTTATATCTATATATATAGAGATAGATATTGGCAAAAGGGGTGCTTGGAATTTGCTATTTCATATTTGTAGTAAGGGTATTGTTTTGCTATTAAAAATACATGTAAGCTAATGAAAAAGCAGTAAAACTGCATTAC